TCGGCATCAGTGCCACAGCGCCGAGGGGTGGCGAAGAATCTGCACACTGGCAACAACACCAACAAAGGTGGTTGCCTCCACAGGGGGAAGATGATCTTAGATTTCGGTGCTGGTGGTACTGTTGGGGCCACCTTGGAAGCCAGAATACTGCCACCACCACCGAGATCGGGACCTTCCTTCCCTCGGTGGAGGCACGCTGCCGATGCTGGTGTTGGTGTCAGCCTCTGGGCCTGCGAATTTCTCCCCCTCCGCCGAGGCTCCCGGCGGCCCAGACCTGCCAACAGTCAATCAGGAGGGAAAGAAACACACAGACACAATTTTTCGTCGATTCTCCAGAAAATATAGGAAAATATAGGGCAGTGGGGGGGAAAACAGAAACCCAGAAAATATGGGAAAATAAGGGGAATCCTGTCATTTTTGTGAATTTATTTGTGTGCCCCAGGGCCCCTTCAATGGACCCTGGGAGGGGTCCAGGGTTGAGTCGGACGTGTCCCTCTACAAGATGAGGAGTGTTCAAGAATAGTCAAAACATGGTTCGGGGACGATTATTTCACGATTTTTGAGCTTCATTTTTCGCGCAAGATCCGCCTGCAGGGGGACACGTCCGACATAAGTCCAGGGACCGAGGCCGAGCGGATCTGGGCCGAGAGCTCCAGGCCCTCCGAACGGGGTCCAAGCGAGCGGGAACTCCAGCCGAAGTTTTGTCTGAAGGAATTCTATGGATTTCCTAAGGAATCCTATGGATATCATAAGGAGCCCTATGGATTTCATCCTAAGGAATCTCCTGGATTTCCTAAGATCTCCCGTGGATTTCCTAAAGACTCCTATGGATTTCCTGAAGAATCCCATGAATTTCCGAAGGAATGCGATGGATATCCTAAGGAACCTTATGGAATTCGCAGGTTTCGGGGCTCAGGGGCGGGCCCGGGACCGCCATCAATCGACCCAGATGAAAAATTGACCCAGGGGAAGAGGTCGGGATCTCCGGGGGCGCCGTATTGAAGAAGCCAAGGCATCAGATGTCTGAGCAGGTGGGGTCGGAGGATCCGCGCCGACGGCGCCGATGCATCGGAGATGCGGCTTGATGTGGAGCCTGGAGCCCGATTTCTTTCACGCCAGCGGCTCTGATTTCGGTAGCAATTCATGGGAGCCTGGTACGTCCTCGTAACTTCCGGTTTTGGAGTACACTAGCGTGCGCCAGCGCCTGGTAGTCGACGAGAGGGCGCCGACTCGGCGTCGATTCGCGTCGACTCGGCGTCAGTTGGCGTCGGCTCGCGTCGATTGTAACTTCGATTCGCAAGAGCGAGCAAGATGGCACGGGATGCTCCCATGAGTTGCCACAGAGGCCGCTGGGTCGGCCCGATCCTCACTCGGGCGCTCCCCTCGTGCTGCCTCCGGGGGCGACCTGATCTCTCCTCTCTGCACAGGGCCAGAGGCGACGAGCGAGCCACAGGCCGCGAGCGGAGGTGAAGCATTGCCGAGCTCCAGAATGCGCGAGAAAGAGAGAGAGAGAGAGAGTACGGGCGGGAATTTTGCACAGCGTGTCGCTCCGCCCGTTCCGGCCCACCACGCCCCGTCGCGACACGTCCACTTCTCCAGGTCTGCAAGTGTGAAAGCGTCCCCAGCTTTTCCGAGCCTCCCGCCCCGCGGAGCTGAGCGACGCGCCATCCGCTCGCCAGGCAGAGCGTGTCGCCTGGGCCGCAGCCGCGACACGCTAAGCAACGGTTCCCGACCGTAGAGGCGGGAGTCCATTGGAAACGGGGGGCAGGGCAGAGAGGGGAAGGATGTGTAGAAGGGGGCGACGACGAGTGGGCAGGAACGGGTAGAGTCTGCGACCAATTGCGAACCTTACCCCTGCGGGTTTTCTCGACGCTGGGGCATCGGACACTCCTGCCAGGAGTTCCCACCAGGCTGCATATATCATTCGAATTCGGAACTCCAGCCAGCTATTCAGAGGGGAAGCGCGAGCGACAAGGAGCGAGGGCGAGGAGGGGCGAGGGCAACACATATATATATATATATATATATATGTATATATATATATATATGTATATAATTTATATATATATATATAGATTTAGGAGCCCGACCACAAGAAACCTTTGACAAGAAACCCAACCCTGAGACCCCAGGACGTCCATCGATGTTTGGTGTGGGAACGTCACGCCTTCCATGGCAAAACCATCGAAACCCAAGACGCCCAGGGCACCCTAGAGGCAAGCAGGGTAGGGTCACACGTGGTTGCCTGAGATGGGGGCGACGAAGAAAAATCGGAAATGGACAGAGAAGGTGCCTCCTCCCTGGTGGTCCATCTTGTCGTCGTCCTTCCCCCTTCGCAGAAGGAGGGGCGCCAGCAGTTCATGCTGGCGGCGCCACTCGACGACGACGACGACGGTGTCGACGACCACCATGATGATAAGGATGCTGATGGTGATGATGCTGCTGCTGATGATGATGATGATGATGATGATGATGATGATGATGAGGGCAGCAGATGATGATATATGGCGATGGTGATGATGATGGTATATATGATGCATGATGATGCTGACGATGATAGATGGTCGATGAGGATCATGGTGATGGTGATGATGATGAGGATGATGGCAATGGTGAGTGTGATGGTGATGATGCTGATGCTGCTGCTGCTGCTGCTGCTTCCGCTGATGATGATGATGATGGTGATGGTGATGATTGTAGTTCTTATGATGATGTTGCCGACAGTGGCGATTCTGATTGCGATGACGGTGTTGAGGATGCTGCTGATGTTGATGCGGGTGCTGCTGATAAGGTTAATGACGACGGTGATGATGGTGATGATGATGCTGCTGACGATGATGTTGTGAACCGTGATGCTAGATGACGAAGATGACGACGATTATGATGATTATGATGATTCTGATTCTGATTATTATGATGGTAATGCTGCTGATGATGACTTATGATGATAGGTGGTATACGTTTTTTTGTCGGTAATGGTGATGATATGATGATGCTGACGATGCTGCTGCTGATAACGTTGTGACGATGAGGATGATGATGAGGATGATGCTGATGATGATGATGGTGATGATGACGATGCTGATGATGCTGCTGCTGATAACGATGATGATGAGGAGGATGATGTTAATGATGCTGATAACGATAATGATAATGGTAATGGTAATGATAATGATAATGATAATGATAATGATAATGATACTGATACTGATGATGATGATGATGATGATGATGATGATGATGATTCTGATGATGATTCTGATGATGCTGCTGCTGCTGATGATGATGATGATGATGATGATGATGATGTTGACAATGATGGTGGTGATGATGATAATGGTGATGGCGCAGGTGAACTTGCCACCAACATAAAGGCCCTGAAGGATGGGTCCCCCCGCCCAGCCGACGCGTCTCATTTCACTTCATGTCTTTGCTTGTCCGCCTATCCCATTGTCTCTCTGCCTCTTCCCTGCCGTTTCCCCCCCTCTCCACCTCCCTCTTTCTATCGCCTTTCCTCTCCCTCACTCTCTTTTTCTCGTTCTCTCTCTCTCTCTCGCTATCTCCCTCTCACTCTCTTTCCATTTTTCGTTTCTTCCTTTTTCTCTCTATGTATATATATGTAGATACATCTAAATCTCTCTCTCTCTCTCTCTTTTTCCCCCTCTATGTCTCCGTCGTTCTGCGTTCCCTTATGTCGTTCACCTGTACCTCTTCCACCTTTCTCTCCCGTCTTCTTCTTGTCCATCGACTCGTTTTGGCAGAACTGATACTCTAAATGATTGCAGCGTGGACCCAGACAGTGAATTAATGCAATGTGTGTGTGTGTGTGGTGCAATTCAGCGCAATACGAAGCACTGTAGGGCTAACCAATGCAAGCACTTATGCACGACAAGGCAAAGCAAGGCAACACGTAGCCAAGCAGTTACAATGCAAGGCAACGTATTCGAAGCAGTGCACTGCTCTGCAAGGCGGTGCAGAGCTGTCCAGAGCACTTCAACGCAGTACAAATCGGTCGGCGCAATATGTGGCCACGAATACTTCCGGAGCCCCACATGCAATCCATGGTGCAACCTAGCAGATCACAATGATGTACAGGCGCAACGTGTGCCCGCGAAAATCCCTGCAACTCCAGAAGCAATCCATGGCCCCACACATTGGAACAATACCTGGCCAGGACAACTCCTTGCCTCCCATCCGCAACCCACGGAGCAGCCCAGGGGTGCAACTGAAGTGCGGCAACGAGAAGTCCTTGGCTCTCCTACAGGCTACGGGCAGTTCGTGTCGCAGCCTGCTGCCACGAATAATCTGCGGCACTTTCTACCACGTCCCTCGCGGCAGAAGGAAGGACTCCAAAGTGCAAGCCCCGTTTTGGGAAACTGCCGATGCTCACAGCCGGTTGGGATTACCCTCAGAAGGCCGAGGGGCAACAGGCGCAGCTGTCGCGCAGCGCCGTCGTTCTACAACACCCCTTCGTGCACCCCACTGCTAGCAGGTCTCTCTCTCTCTCTCTCGTGTCCTCTCCCTCGCCGTCCGTTGCTCAAGGCGAGGCGGCTCATGCGGAGGAGGAGGAGGAGGAGGAGGAGGAGGAGGAGGAGGAGGTCCGCTCAGAAGTGCAGCTCCTGGCCGTGGCTGCGTCGCTCAGTGTTCAGGAGGACACTCAGCCGTTGCTTAGAGCTGCCCTTTCCCAACTCCTCCTCCTCCTCCTCCTCGTTTTCCTCCTTCCTCCTTCCACTCCTCCCCATCCTTCTCATCCTGAGATAAAAACCACGAACCCCATCCGTTAGACAATTGCGATTAGCCCTGGCTTTCACCTCCTGGTGCTCCGCCACCTTCTGCGCGTGAAAGCCACCGCAGGAGGCGGCTGTGGGGATCTCTGCGCCCCCACAGGCTCAGGAACAGCAGTCCACGAGAGCTCCTGCTGGCCTCGCCCATCTCTGAGGGCGTCATCTCGGGGTCCCGTTGAAAGCCGGCCCTTGCTCGCACAAGCCCTTGTCCTTTTCCCGCCACTCCTTCCGTCGCGCTCCTGCCCAGGCTGCCACTGCCGCCGCTCCTCCTGTCGCTGCTCCTGCTCTTTCGCGACGGCGGCGCTGCCCATCCGCACCCCTGCCTGGCATCGCGAGTGCCCCGTGCGCCAAGCTCGCCGAGAAGTTCGCGCGTGCGCGCGGCCTCTGCTGCAGCAGGGGATCTGTCTGCCCCGCGTGCGACGTTCGCTATTCTCAGCATCCCGCCTCCTCTCTCCGAATCCTGCCCGGTGCCTGCAGGAGCAGATCGCGGACGACACGGCAAAGCTGAAGGAGGCCGTCCCATCTCGCATTCCTGGCCTCCCTCGCGCATCATCTTCGAGGTCTCTTGGGCCGTCTTGGGCTGACGGAAGCCCGAGCATGTGAGAACGCGGCAATGCAAGCGTTGTTGTATGGAGACTCCATGAGTTTGGCATCTCCTGGCTTCTGGGGCCGTCTTGGGGCCCCTCGGGTTGTCTCGGGGCAATTCTGGGCCATGTTGGGTCCATCTTTCGGCGGCGAGCTAGGGATGGAAGTGAGAAGGGGCTCGAAAGTCCCCCAGCCTTCTGAGAAGTTTTCTACGTCTCCCCCGAAGACGCAGAACACTTCTCAGAAGGCGCGAGGGCTTCTCAGAAGTTCCGCCGCCTTCTGAGAAGGCCTGCTCCTCATCATTTCCCCCCCTCGCTCGCCGCCGAATCTGCTCTTTGGGTCCTACTCGGGTCTCCGGCGGCCGTTCGGGACGATCGGGGCACCCCCTGGAACGCCCTCGGCGAGGCGCGGCTGCTGGCAAGCATCCCGAGGCTGGAAAGCCGCCGAGAGCCAACGAGCGCGCCCGAGATGCAACGAGAGCGCCTTCTCCACGTGCCCCCCCCCTCGCTCGCCGCCGAGTCTTGGGCCGAATCTTGGGCCACCTGGCCGGCCGTGGTTCAGGAGGGAAAGAAACACACAGACACAATTAATCGGCGATTCCCAGAAAATATGGGAAAATATGGGAAGTGGGGGGGAAGACAGAAACCCAGAAAATATAGGAAAATATGGGTTCTATTTTTATTTGTGTGTATTTATTTGTGTGTCCTAATTTCCCTTTACGAATCTTGGGCCACCTGGCCGGCCGTGGTGGGCTGCTTCGGCCGCCCGAGGCCGCGGGAGCGAGCCTCCCGGGGGAGGCGTCGGGGCGCCCGGGGAGCCCTCCTCGGGGCAGAGGGGGGGGCAGCCGCGCACGCGACGAGGCGCCAGGAGACCGGGGGGGGGGGGCCCTCAGAGGAATACATCTTAGGCGATGTTTAAGAAAACTTAAATTTTCGGCCAGGGTCTCGATGATTCTTAATGTTTCCATGTACATCCTAAGATTTCGATGGAAATTCTGGGCTTCTACTCAAGTTCTGAGACTATGAATTTCTTAATCCATGATTTCTTAAGCATTTCGCAGGGTGTACTCGGCCTCGCGCAGAGGGGGGCGGAGGGAGGGGGAAGTGGCGGGAGGGAGGGGGAACGAGGGAGGGAGCCGCGCTCAGCCGTATACAGTGGCGGGAGGGGGAAGGCTTCTCAGAAGCACCCCCCTCCCTTCTCAGAAGGCGCGGACGCCCCATCGGAGAAGCACTTCCGTGCGCCTGCGGAGCTGCTGGGGTGCTCCTGAGAAGCGGCGCGCCCCTGGCCTCTTAGAAGGGCGGCCAGCACCTTCTAGGAGGCAGCCGCCTTCAAGAAGCCTGTCCCTTCCCTCTACCTGGAGGGTTTCTCCGAAGGGCTTAGGCGACCCGCCCTCCGCCTCCTCCTCCTGCTCCTCCTCCTCCTCGGGTCGCCTACGGCCCCGGGGGAAACCGTGCACCTTTACCACCCTGTCCGCGCCGCCAACCTACCAGACGGCCCTTGGTCCCCTACCAAGGCTCAGCGTGACAAGGGGCACGGCGGCGGACAAATGCCCCCCTGTCGACTGTGCATAAGAGCAATGGGTCAACTCCTGCAGAAACCCATTCGGGGACCAGGGCCTCGTTGGGTACCCGAATCGGCGGGCAGAAAAGGATTCCACGCCATGGGAGGTGATGGGTGGGATGCGTACGATGTCAGATGTGGCGCGAGCGCACCCTCAGACTGCCTCTCCACAGTCTTTCGCAGCGCGGGTGCCTTGCCCCGCCTGCCCTGGGCAGAGTCCGACCTGGGCGCCGCCTCTCCCACATCGTGTTTTTAGAGCACATCGGTCAACTTGCATACACATCTGTGAGGTATATACATATATAATGTAAATACCGCCCCCCCGGCCCCGAGTGCCAAACCTCCCTGCCACATCTGGGGGACGCTCCTGGTACCGCTCCCCCGGGCGTTCCGGGGAGCCTCCACAGCGCTCCAGGAGGGCCCAAGACGACTCCCAGGAGCGCCCAGAATGCGAAAGGATGGTCCAAGACGCTCCCAAGCAGCCCAAGTCAGCCTTCCGACGCCTCTCGAGGCTCCCAGGTAACCTCCAAGAGACCCCAAGAGAGGTCCGAGAGGCGTCCCGGGACGGCCCGAAGAGGCTCAAATCATCGATTCTATTTTTTTTCAATGTTTTTGGCTTCGTGCGTTTTCGAGCTTCTAACGGTCCAAGAGCGCCGAAGAGGCTCCCAAGACGGCCCCAAGACCACCCAAGAGACCATCAGGACGGCCCCAAGACGGGCCAAGAAGCTCCAAGATTGCCGAAGAGGCGCCCAGGACAGCCCCAGACCACCCCAGAATAGGCCCAAGATGGGCCCAAGAGCGGGAGCAGGAGGCTTCCAGAGATCTCCGAGAGGCCTCCGGGACCCCCCAGAGGCCACCAACACACCCCCGATCCCTGAGAGGCCCCCCCAAAACCCGACGAGGCTCCAAGAACAGCCCAAGAGAGCTGCGAGAGCCGTCCCGAGAGAGCCCAAAGAGGGTAACGTCGTTTATTTCCATGGTTTTTGTAATGTCTTTCGCCTTCTCACGTTTTCCCTCTTCCAAACCTGGAAGATCGAGGATTTGAAAAAAATGGGAATTCCCAGTATTCCTTTTTTTTCCCAAAGTGTGACTCCTACTCGGGGGTCCCACACATCCCCTAATATCTGGCCGATACCGCGCCTCCCGGCTTCCCGGGGGGAGACCCCAAGACGCCGAAGGACAGCCCATGACGACCCCAAGGAGCCCCCAGAACGTAAAGAACGGCCCAACACGCTCCAACGCAGCCCGAGACACCCTTCTGACGGTTCTCCAGGCCTCCAGGAGGCCTCCAGAACCCCCGGGGGGTCCGGAAGATCCCGCACCCCTGAGGGGCACGGCTAACAAAACCCGCGAGGCACAAACAAAACACAGCTGGAAACACATGGAAATCCCACAAATCCTTCTTTTTGTTTTCCAAGTTTGGCCCCCAGTCTACTCTTGCACAACAGACCACAATTCAGACCCCCCTCACCTCCCAAAAAGAACCCAGGAAGCCTCGAAGGGCCCCAATTCGTTGAATACCTCAAGGAAATTTATGATTTCTGCGTTTCCGCACTTCCCCTTCTATACGATTCCGAGGCTTGCGCAGGGCCTCCAAGGGTGTCCTTGGACGCAAGAAGCGACCAAAATGATATTACATGAGTTAGCCCATCAAGCCTAGCTAGAACTTGAGTGCGCGCGAAGCGCGCGCGATGGTTTTTAGTATATATATATATATATAGATGTACACACATATAGATGTGTATACACATGTAAATGCTTATATCTATATATTCCCCAATCGGTGCTTGCACTGAAGGGGTCCTAGCGGAAATTTCCCAATCAGTGCTTGCACTGAAGGGTTCCTAGCGGAAATTGACAGATTTGGCGAAAATGTCCCGCCGATTTTGGTGACCGGCTGGGTTCCCGGGTTCCCGGTTTTGGGTTCCCGGGTTCCTGGTCATCGGTTCCAGTCCGATTTCGGTGGGTTCCAGGTTCCCGGGTTCCCGGGTTGGTTCCAGGTTCCCGGGTTCCTGGGTTCCCGGTCGATCTTTTGATCGACCTTTTTATCGATCCCATTTCAAACCATCGATTGATTGGGAGGGAGTATCTAGGGCCTTTCCCAACCGTCCTGTGGTGTTGGGTCCTCGTTTTGAGGAGACAGCGGCCCGCGTTCTCTTCCTTTCTTCCTTCCTCCTCTCCATCCCTCCCCCCAACGCCCCTCCCGCGCTTCGTGGCCCCGTAGAAGCTTCGCTGAAGGTCCCACAGGCGCAGTTCGCATGCGTCCCCGCCACTCATGTTGGCACACCCCTCACGCGTCTCGTGGCCCTATAGGAGATCTGCTGAAGGTCCCAGTGGCGCAGTTCGCATGCGCCCTCGCCACCCATTTCGGCACGCCCCTCACACGTTTCGTGGCTCCATAGGATCTCCATCGAAGGTCCCACTCGCACCGTTCGAATTGGTTCGTGGCCCCATAGCCCGCCACTCAAGTCGGCAATGCCCTCACACGGTTCGTGGCCCCATGGGGAGCTCCACCGAATGTCCCAGCAACACAGTTTACATGCGTCCCCGCCACCAATTTCGGCTCATCCCTCACACGTTTTGTGGCCCCATAGGGAGCTCCACCGAAGGCCCCACCTGGTGCAGTTCACATGCGTCCCCGCCACCCAGTACGGCACACCCCTCACGCGGTTCGTGGCCCCATAGGGAGCTCCACCAAATGCCCCAGTGGTACGGTTTCTATGCGTCTCCGCCACCCATTTCGGCGCGCCCCTCGCACGTTTCGTGGCCCCATAGGGAACCCCGCCGAAGGCCCCAGTGGCACAGTTCGCATGCGTCCCCGCCGCCCATCCCGGCACGCACCTCACGCGGTTCGTGGCCCCCTAGGGAGCTCCGCTGAAGGCCCCAGTGGCATAGTTTACATGCATCCCTGCCACCAATTTCGGCACACACGACACGTTTCGTGACCCCATAGGGAGCTCCGCCGAAGGCCCCAGTGGTACAGATTATATGCGTCCCCGCCACCCATTACGGCACACCTGTCACGCGGTTCATGGCCCCATAGGGAGTTCCACCGAAGGCCCCAGTGGTGCAATTTACATGCGTCCCCGCCACCCATTTCTGCACACCCATCACGCGGTTCGTGGCCAGAACCCTTTCCCCCGCCCCTGCCCCCGTTGCCCCGCGCTTCGTTCTTGCTGCGGCACGCTGCTTACGAGAGCCAGTCGGGGTTTGCGCGCCCCCCTCCTTCGTCTCATCTCCCTCGTGGCACTCGCAGCTGCATGCGGTTGGGTCCTTCGTTGGGCTATTTTTCGGCGGGCGGCAGCGCGAAGGAGTTTTTGTTCGTTGTTGCAAAAGCGCGTGCCCGCAAGCCTTTCTCCCCCCCGCTCCGCGGAGGTCGCCGCGGCCTGCGGCGGCGTCCGCGGCGGGGCGGGCTGGATGGGGTTTTCGGGGGGTGCGGGCGGGGGGCCGCGTTTCCGGCCTTCCTGTACACCTTAGGCGGTGCTTAAGAAAACCTAAGTTTTCGTCCAGAGTCTTGATTATTCTTAACTTTCCCATGTGAATCCCAAGATTTTGATAGAAGTTCTGGGTTTTATTCAAGTTCTGGGACTATGAATTTCTTAACCCATGATTTCTTAAGCATTTCGCGGGGTGTACTTTGTGCTCGTGGGTTTGGTGCTCTTCGGTATCGTTAGTTCTCTGCGGGGCGGGGGTTGAATATGCCTCCGCGCGCCGCGCGTGGCGCCTTGGCGCGCGGCGGCCGATCGCGAGGCTGGCGCGTTTGGCGCGCGCGCCGTCGAATTGCTGTGGCGGCGTTTGTATTTCCCGTCGCCCTTCTCCGCGCCTGGGGTTGTGGGTTGGCCGCGCGTGGCGTCGCGGCGCTCGCGCGATCCCGCGGGGCGCGGCGGGCGACGAATGCGTCGCGCGCTGGCCCGGTGGGGGCGGGCCTATCCAGCGATCAGCGCCCTCCGCGCTTTCCCCCGAGCCTTGGGCTTTCCAGAGTTGCGTCTTGTGTGGCCCTCTTGTGCCGTCATGGGGCCCTCATCGGGGCCGGTTGGCCCGTGTTCGGGCGATTTTAGGGGGCGTTTTTGGCCGTCTTGAGCGCCGTGATTTCTATGCGCACGTGTATATGCAAATGCACATTTGCACGTGTACTTGTGTATGTATGTGTATATGTCAGGATTTGTATGGCTGTCTGCATGTGTGTATTTATGTATGTATGCATGCATATATATATATGTGTATGTATGTATGCATGCATGCATGCATGCATGTATGCATGTATGTGTATGTATGCATGCATGTATGTGTATGTGCATGTGTATGTGCATGTGCATGTGTATACGTATGTGTATGCGTATGTGTATATGTAGGTGTATGTGTATGTGTATGTGTATGTGTATGTGTATGTGTATGTGTATGTGTATGTGTATGTGTATGTGTATGTGTGTGCGTATGCATGCATGTATTTATATATGTGTATGTATGTATGTATATGTGTATCTATGTATATATGTATGTATGTATCTATGCATGCATGTATGTATGTATGTATGTAGGTAGGTAGGTAGGTAGGTAGGTCGGTCGGTAGGTAGGTATGTATGTATGTATGTATGTATGTATGCATGTATGTATGCATGTATGTATGTATGTATGTATATATACTTATCGCTATGCATGTGTTTATGCATGTGCATACACATGTGCACTTATACTAGGACGTTACATTTAGGCCAACCGTTATCAGCATGGTGTTCCTACTGCAGCTTGGGCCGCATTTCAGGATCAAAAACTTTGCTCAAGCCGTTCAGAATGGCGTTCTCGCCCCAGCTGGGGCCGATCTGCTGGTTCCGGGGTCTGTCCAGTCTGTTGACGTCGCCTACTTTGCCCTCCTCTTTCTTCCCCTCGTCCTCCTGCTCCCTCCTCTCTTCTCATCCTTCTTTTTTTTTGCCTCTCAGCCCCCTTGCTCATCCCCCACTTCGTCCTGTTCATGTACCCAGCCCCCCGTTCTGACCCAATCATGTGCAGTTGTGAGTCACGCAGTTGTGAGTCTCGTTTTCGGTGGAGCTTCTATGGGGCCACGAAGCGTGCGAGGGGTGTGCCGATATGAATGGCAGGGACGCGTGCGAACTGTGCCACTGTGACCTTCCGTGGAGCTCCCATGGGGCTGCGAAACATGTGCGAGGGGTGGCCGAACCCAGTGGCGGGGACGCATGCGAACTGTGCCATTGGGACCTTCGGCGGAGCTCCTATGGGGCCACGAAGCGTGTGAGGGATGTGCCGAAACGAGTGCTGGGGATGTATGCGAACTGTGCCACTGTGACCTTCGGCGGAGCTCCTATGGGGCCACGAAACGTGCGAGGGGTGTGCCGAAACGAGCGGCGGGGACGCATGCGAACTGTGCCACTGTGACCTTCGGCGGAGCTCCCATAGGACCACGAAACGTGTGAGAGGTGTGCCGAAATGAGCGGCGGGGACGCATGCGAACATTGCCACTGGGACCTTCGGCGGAGCTCCTATGTGGCCACGAATTGTGTGATGGATGTGCCGATATGAGTGGCGGGGACGCATGCGAACTGTGCCACTGGGACCTTCGGCGGAGTTCCTATGTGGCCACGAATTGTGTGATGGATGTGCCGAAATGAGTGGCGGGGACGTATGCGAACTGTGCCACTGGGACCTTCCGTTGAGCTCCTATGGGGCCACGAACCTTGCGAGGGGTGTGCCGATATGAGTGGCGGGGACGCAAGCGACCTGCGTCACTGTGACCTTCGGCGGAGCTCCCATGGGACCACGGAATGTGCGAGGAGTGTGCCGAAACGAGTGGCGGGGACGCATGCGAACAGTGCCACCGGGACCTTCGGCGGAGCTCTTATGGGGCCACGACACGTTTGAGGGGTGTGCCGAAATGAATGGCGGGGGCGCATTCGAACTGCACCAGTGGGGCCTTCGGCGGAGCTCCTATTGGGCCACGAAGCGTGCGAGGGATGTGCCGATATGAGTGGCGGGGACGCATGCGAACAGTGCCAGTGACCTTCGGCGGAGCTCTTATGGGGCCACGAAACGTGCGAGGTGTGTGCCGATATGAGTGGGGGGGGGACGCATGCGAACTGTGCCACTGGGACCTTCGGTGGAGCTACTAAGGGGCCACGAAACGTGTGAGGGGTGTGCCGAACCCAGTGGCGGCGACGCACGCGAACTGTGCCACTGGGACCTTCGGCGGAGCTCCTATGGGGCCACGAAGCGTGTGAGGGGTGTGCCGAAATGAGCGGCAGGGCCGCATGCAGTTTGTGCCACTGTGACCTTCGGCGGAGCTCCCATGGGACCACGAAACGTGTGAGAGGTGTGCCGAAATGAGTGGCGGGGACGCATGCGAACATTGCCACTGGGACCTTCGGAGGAGCTCTTATGGGGCCACGAAACGTATGGGGGGTGATGGAGGAGGGAGTAGAGGGAGGAATGGGAGGAGGGAGGGAAGGGGAGGAAGGAAGGAAAGAGGATAACGCGGGGACCGTCTCTTCAAAAGAGGACCCAACACCACAGGATGGTTGGGAACAGTCAGCGCAATGGGAAACGATAGGTGGTAGAGGTTAAATGTCAAACAATAGCGAGCGCACCTGGCTTCTCCCTTATCTCTGCATATCCTGGTTGTGTGTGTGTGTGTGTCTCTCTCTCCCTCTCGCTCTGTATAGGCACATCTACGCAGAACATGTAGACGGAGCCCTCTCCTGCCTTCTGCCTCTCGCTCCGGACGATGCTCGCCTCTTGCGCTCTTCGCTCACTCCCCTTCCCCCCCGGCGAGGCCACCGCGATAAGAGAGAGGGAGGCAGAGGAATTCCGCGGCGACGAGAAGGACATGGTCCAGGCTCGCCCACGCTCCGCCCCCCTACACCTTAGGCGATGCTTAAGAAAGCCTAAGCTTTCGTCCAGGATCTCGATTATTCTTAATTTTCCAATGTGAATCCCAAGATTTTTGATAGAAGTTCTGGGTTTTATTCAATTTCTGAGACTATGAATTTCTTAACCCATGATTTCTTAAGCATTTCGCAGGGTGTATGGTCGCCTGAGGTGGATCGGATCGATCGGATCAGATCGGAGGTCCTCGGACGGTCTCCTCTGGGAGCCGCTGCCGGGGGCGCGCAGCTCTTAACGAAGACGTCTGCGACGAATGACCGCCGCCGCCTGCTTTTTGGAAGCGTTCCTGCGGCCAATCGTGGGGCCGAAGTCTGGCCAAGGTATTGGCCCATGTGTCCCCCCAGCCGTTGTGGGACCCCCTGGGGGAACACTTGGGAGAGGAAGAGAATGAGGAGGCGAGGGAGGACAAGGAGGACAAGGAGGAAGACGAAACGGAGGCCTCTTGAGGTGAGGCTCGCTTGGGGTATCCTAGGGGCTTCCTGGGAACCTCCTGGGGGCCTCTGAGGGGCCTTTTGGGGGCCTCCTGGGGCCTCTTGGGGACCTCTTGATTGCCCCTTTGGGCAGTCGTGGGTCCCTTTTTGGGCGCTTCAGGGCCGTCTTGAAGGATAATGGGCCGTCTCGGGGACGTCCTGGGAGCCTCTTGGGCCGTCTTGGGGCCCTCTTGGGCCTTCTTGCGGGCCTATTGGGGGCCTCTCGGGTCGTCTTGGGCAGATTTTCGGGTCTATGGTGCCGTCCTAGAGCGTCGAAAGCCCGAACAGGCGAGAACGTTATGATAATTGGAAAACCCATGGGCGGCCAGTTTTTCTTGGCTTCCTGTAGGTTCTCTTGGAGCCCTCTTGGGGCGTCTTGGGGGCCTCTTGGGCCATCTAGAGGACATCTTGGGCCGTCACGGATGCGTCTCGGCCCGTTTTGAGGCATCTTGGGGACATCTTGAGCTCTCTCGGGGCAATTTTTTGTGCCACATTGGCCTTCTTGGAGTCGTTTTGTCAGGTTTTTCCCGGCCTTCCGCGCGGCTGGCTGGGCCGATACCCTGTTGGGAAGCTTTAGCAATTACCTAAACGACTAAACATCCAGCACGCCGTGCACCCCTGTGGCAAGCACAGGGGGCAGCGGATCGAATACGCTTAGGGCGAGCCAACGCCGCCCCATGCTTTTCAGAAGCGTCGATGTGGCCGAA